GTCATTAAAATGAACGAATGAAATTGAATGTTTTGTTTTGCCGCCATGCAAAAACCGTCAAAATAGGGCGCGATATTGTTACCAGCACCATTGATATCCAAAGTGACCGCCAGTCCTCAACAACGGCTAGACATTAGAAAATACTGGCAGTATAGTCTGTCACGTTTCTATAGAATTATGTTACTGGCATGTACTTCGAATCTCACGAAGATTTGAGTCAAAATCTCGGTAAAATTAGTGCAAATGACGTGTGCCTACGTGCATTGCGGACAATGTCCTACATCTGACGTCATGTCATGGCAGAGTGCCAGACACTCCTCGTAGGGCAAGTTCTCAGTGCTTTTACGAATTTGTTGGGAAATCCCTACTTTCTTCTCTTTTCACCGAAGATTCCCTCTGGAAGACCGTGGTGCAAACCTCTTTTGTTGCAGTGTGTGCGGTATAATCCACACAATGGGACGTGCTAACTTCTCCTAAAGCTTATTCCATTAACGGCACCAGTGCTTCACTGTATACTGTGTATGTCAGAATTTCTTATCACCAGTCGATCAGAAAAAGGCTTACTGAATCTAAGCTTGCAATAGCTTCTGGCAGCAGCAGTTATGAGCATCGATTTTGCAAGCTAAAGAGCGGTCTGCTTGTACAGAACATTGATTAGGTGCCTTCATCCTACAAAGTATGGCAGTAGCATTGTCACGGCTCTGCAATTGAGTGCAGGTTCCTACGACATCCTTCTTTCATCCATGGGGTTTTCCTAGCACCACTTATGAAGGACTAAAGATTCTTCACCCCGATTCCAAGTTCCAGATGTCTTATCTACGATGTGTCATAGGCTTTTGCCATTAACGCCGTTCAACGCATATTTCCCATCGTTTTGGGCTCTATTACATATACATTGCATCTGAGACTAAGCTCAGGGGATAGGGGAACTCCGGTGAGGGTAAACCAGGCACCGTGTAGCAAACGTTAATATGAAGCAGGGTGAGTGGCTAACTTGCCTCAGGGCCCCTTGGTCCCCAAAGTTTAGTACTGTTGCAATAAACGGTGGGAGGGCGCAGACCAGCGGGAATTAGGCGCAAAATGGTGTCAGCGGCAAGAATGAATGTCATATTCGTAATCAGGACACCAAATAACCCCTGTATACAAGTTTACACGAATTTGGTGAAAATGTCGTGACAAGGTGGCGCCAACTGGCGCCAGATGGCGCCACCGCCAAAAATGAATGTCATTTTCGTGAATCAGGGCATCGAATTACCCCTTGCGAGCAAAGTTTCGATGGGAAAGTCGAAATTTCGGGATTGCTATGGTTGAATAGTACCCATATATGTTCTCAGTTTCCGGCATTAGCGCTGTTCAGCGCTTGCTTCTGCTCTCCTAGGCTGTTCCGCGCATAGTGCTTCAGACTAAGCTGAGAGGAAGGGAGACGCTGGGATGGGAAACAGCGTACCCTGTGGAAAAAGTTGAAGTGCATCAGGTCCTAGGTGAGAAGCTTGTTCAGTTAGGATGCCTCCCTTCCTCAAATATTTAATCGTGACCCTGGCCTTATCAGTGAGGTAGCGCAGACGAACAGTAAGTGGGTGCCAAATGGCGTCAGCGCCAAAATTGAATGTTGTACTCGTAATCAGGCCACATATAACCCCTAGAAAAAATCTTGCCAGATTTAGTGAAAACAGCCGTCGTGTCAAAGTGGTGCCAGCTAGCACTAAATAGGGCCGGTGCCAAAATTTAGGATTATTCGGAGCTTAAGTAGCACCAAATAACCCTATAGACGGTTACCAAATAGGCGAGGTTTCGGCGGAATTCGAGATCCCGAGACAGCATCAGTGGGAATGTACCGAAACTTCTAAATCTTGCTGTGGTTTTTGTGAGAGGTGTCTATAAGTGACCGTTTCTTTCAATCTCGGTTTCCACCACCTTTTTTCTGTAGTTTTACTGCTTTTTTGTACGCTATCATGTGTTCAGATGTTTCGCTGCTCGCTCAAAGCACTGCAACGTCAAGGCGTATTCATCTTTGTTGGTCGGACAAGACATCGACCGTCATATTATTGTCCTGCCTAGTGAAGCATGGTGTTCTTACACTGGCTGAGGCAAAAGACACCTACAAGGATGTGCATGTCGGCGTAAAGTACATTTGTAATATACACTATGTCAAGGCGGTGAGTTTTTAAATTATCACAATTAAGGGACTTTAGTGGATTTCCGTCCTTCAGGTCCTGTACATTGTTGGGGAGATCGAGCGGATGTGGCACAGCTTACCGGCGGACTTTTCACCGGATGTTATCGATGATGTTCCAGTAGACGTCATCCAGAACATAGCTGCGCATCTTCAAGATGCCGCTTATTCCTTGGATGTGACCGTTCAGGTGAAGATCTTATTGTACATCAAGCTAAAACTGCTCGGCTTTAGCCTGCTAACTCCTTAAGATCTTCGCATTTCCGAAACTGGAGCGGAATTGAAATATGAATTTGACCGCATTGAATGATGTCAAACTTGCAGTAGTTTGAGGATTAGCTACTAAGAAAAGCCGGGGAGAAAAAAAAGGTGAGGATCGGGGATAACTGCTGAACCACTGTATAACATATAGGTTTTCTTATGATGAACTCAACAGAGATCTACGAAAGAGTTGTATGCTTCTTACGATTAGCTGAGGGTTTTTAGATTGAATAGGTTGCGCAGGGCAGACAGGACGTGATCTTAACCATGTCGTTCAATGATTTTCCATATCATTGGTATATGTAGTACAAAGCACTTCATGAGATTTCTGTGGGATCTCATTCAGTGAGGGGTACGTTAGTTCAAATGTATCGCCTGAAGTAATCCTATTTTCTGCAAGAGGAAAGCTGTAGGGAGAGGTGTAAAAGCGAGGCGAAGTTGTTCGCGCTTTCCAAAAAATTTCTCCACAACCCCCCCCCTCTGAAGAAACTTCTCCCCTACAAAAATCAAAATATCTGGAGGCGGTTCCAACTGTTCCACATACCCGGGTGGGGTTTGCTGGGATAGAAAGTGACTTTTCCGCTTTCCGCACGCGAAACGTCTGCGAGAACTACTGATCGAGGTGGACTCGGGAATCCTGCAACGATGAAGTTTCGCGCTGCGAAAAGCGGGAAAATCGCATTCTATCCTTGAACCTTTCTCAATTATGATTTTACGAGAAAATTATTACCATATTTCAGGATGCTCTTGGCTTGCAGCCAAAAAATGTAGTCGCTTTTTTCAAAGGATGCATGACGAGATATAGCTACGACGTATTACGGTGCAGGTTCTCACTTTTGGACGCAAACTATGTAAATGACGACTCCGACGATGAAGATGTAAGAAGTACAATGTGTTAAGTCTTTTTACACGTCTACTAACTCAGTAATTCAATTAAGTGCGCTCTTTTTTCAGATGCTGGGTTTGTCACATCCTCAACAGGACTCTTCCTTAAGTACTGCCGACAAACTTCAAGGGCCTGAATGCTCAGGTGGGTCGAGATTGGATATCAAGAAGTCTTTTTTAGAGTGAGAAAGAGGGGTATCCGACAGAAGGCCCGCCGCGCGGCAGGAAGGCAGAGTCAGCGAACGAGTCGCGGCGCGTGCTGTGCCATTTAGGACGTGCAATGGTACATTAAACCGAACCTCATTCGTATGGACTATACTGTGCCAGCGTATCGAACAGCCAAGATGGAGAATTCTTGGGGCAAGAGAATATTCGTCGATTAGCTGAGCCTGCCCTTCTCCCCACTCATCCAATCGAGCATGTATGAGATGCATTTTTGAGAGCTATTGCAGCACACCCACGTGCGCCGATAACTGTCCAGCAACTGTCAATCGCAGCGTTGGACGGTTGGAACACTTCCCAAGATCTTTACGAACCTTGCTCACAAACCCTATTAAGAAGCGTATTCTGTCTCTCAAAGGTTAACCACGGAATGGGGTAGCCTCACACATCATTCGCTTCAATCATTATTAGAAGAAGAGTCCCGCTTCCGTTCTCGCCATTGCGTACTTCTGCCGGTGACCCCCTGTGATATACTGTAGCAGTGATCCTATGCTCTATATTCCATCGAGCTAGGTTAATCAGAAAAGAAATATTATAAAGTTGCTTTCGTGCCTAATTTTTGCAAATCAGTGCACATATACTATTGTGATTCTCCCTTTTGAGGATATATTTTCGCATCAAATCGAGAAGTTATGGGATACCAAAGGTATTCAAAATTCAAGTACCACTCTGGCCATTTATGAATGCTAATTCTAGCAGATCGTTGTTATAGCATTTCTTTACTCTTGTACGACCCGTTTTTTGTTCAGGTGAGGAAGGTGATATTGTGGAAATATCTGCCGAAGGGACGGAAGAAGATTCTCTGACCGCGGGAAGAACGGAAATAACTATTTCGTCGCCCGACGATCCTCAGACAAGTAAGTTCATATTTCATAATAAACCATTTGCCCGCTTTTCTTCAATTTTTTTTTTCGTTTGAGGTGCAGCATTAGTAGACAACGAACGGTCGACTGAGCGTTATTGTTTATTGTGCGAATTTTGTCGACACGAAAGAAATTTACGGGCAACATCGAAATATCCTGTGCAGAATCTGATACTTATTGGGGCACTGTTTATGGGTAACAAAATCAATATGGACACTGCTCGCCGTATTTATAATGATACCCGCTCTAAACGTGTGCGGATTTGCAAAGATCATTTTGTTGAAGCCGTGAGTTTTTTTTCATTTTGTGTTGTGTTTCACGCATAGGAAGGTTTGATTAATTGCAGGGCCGGTTCATTAACAAAGAGGTACAAAGGCTCTGGGGTAGCTACCCTGGGCATGGATTCCAGGTACCTAGCTCAGTGCGGTCTTATTGCGTCGTGGCTTTTCAAAGGTTCGGGAACTCACTTGCTGTAAGTTTTGATTGTTTCCTTTTTTCTCATCTTAGGCTCTGTTATTTCTTTTCAGAAAGATGTGGAGCTGAATGAAATTGAAATAACTCGGTTTTACAATGATTGTATGGCGAAGTACCACAGTGAAGTCTGTTGGAGACATGTAAAGGTGTAGTGAAATGCGCTATTTTTATCATGACCTGAGCAATGCATGTTCTTTCAGACCTTTTTTTTCTAATCTTTGTTTGGCCTTGATGAATTTCATTAAGCCTTATAGTAACACGGGATTCTGGGTGCGTAGCGTTTCTCCTCCTGGGGTCAGGTCAACTAAAATTGAGACGTCATTTCATTCGCTCGGAGCAACCTTCGGACTAAGCCTTGGCCCATCATAGGCTTAGGCATAAGCCAATGAGTAAGCAAAGCCTTAACCTGAGTCTAAACCTTAACTTAACCTTAAGCTTCAATGATCGCGGACTGTGGTGACCTGACCCCAGGAGGAGAAACGCACGTCTCCCGTGATTTCTGGTCAAAGAGAAACGGGTGAAACACTTGATGGTTGCAACTCCTGATTCCTTCTGATTGATCAATGTTCAATTCCAAAATAACCTAATCAAACTTTGTTTTGTTCGTCTTTCTACACTTATAAAGTTACGTTACACATGAACATTTCCTAGGATCCTCCAAAATTATATGAAAGTGATGCGATATCTAGTTCATCAGCTGGTCAATCTGAAGATCCCGAAGAGGTCGCCATAGGTGAGTGTTGTTCAACCTATTGAATATGGGGTCATGTTTTTTTTTCCCTTTTACGACTTAATCGTTATAACAACGTGACAGTACCGGGATTGTTCGAGCAGTTAGATAAAATATATTGAAACAGAGCTGCTAGGAGTACGACCTTCTTTCGCGGTTAATGAAAGAATACTGGCATGGATTTTGATCGTGATATTAAAGGGCGGAGGGTGCAGAAAGCAAGCATCTACTCGAAAAATTGGCTCTCAATATCTTAAAAAGACAGGGGCGGTTCTGCCAGCAGAGTAATGCGAAATGTTGAATTGTAATTTGATTGTTGATTGTTAACCGCTCTTTTTGGCTGAATTTGCCATGCGAAAACTAGCATGAATGCTTAATTATGGGCGAAGCTGTTTTCCTAGCAGGAATGGAAACCCCATCTTTCCTTTCCCTGGCAGCTGTGCCACCGTTTACGACAGCCTTAGGCGTTGTTCAACATTTTTATTGATCTGGCACAAGTTCCTTCCGCAATCGGCTTTTCTTTCATTTATTCAGTTAATTTGCATGCGATTTTCTTTCAACACCTTTCAGATTCTACCTAAGGCACTTGCGAGCCTGTATTTGTTTTTTTTTTCAGACAAATTTTGCGCAAATTAACCAACTCCTGAAGAATGAAATGTTCGTGGAACTGGTCCGCACTCCTTTTGGGATTTTCTTTTTCTCAATCCCTCTCGCCCTTTCTCCCTCCCCGGACCGTACTCATATAAGCGACACCATTTACAACCGCACCAGCTCCTCCTTCAGTGTTCGTATAACTTTACGTGAAAGTCAATCATCGCAGAGCATTGCTGTTGCGAAAGAAGCGACCAAGAGAACGGCGCTTTCTCAGCTTAGAGCATCACATGTACTACGGTCTGGGCCTTTTCGGAAATGCGTACAGATCAGTATGAAAAGTTTTATTTTTAGTAATTGTTTTGGTTCCATTTGATTTGTTTTAATTGTTGAGTGTGTAGTTTTTGATCTTCCGAGAAGTCATTTTCGTCGGCACAGAAACAGGTAAAGTTTGAATATGAGCCATCTGACCAGGCTTTCAATGCAATACATCTTATGGGGAAGGGAGGGGGCTCATCTTATTCTCACCAGTTCTCGATCTATCCATCTAGAATGGTTGGCGCAAAATGGGTCAGGTTCTAATTCTACTGGGATAGAACAAGCCAGAACGCTGTCGAAAAAATTAACATGAAAGGAAGAAACAGCTCATTGTTTGAAAAGTGATTTCCGCTCTTTTCCTGATGTAAGAAATTCCGAAAACATCATATTTTCTCGCGTTTTTTCGCGGTACATTTATTGTCATTTCAGATGATGAATCAGGGTCTAGTCGTAAACGGAAACTTCCAAGGTAACCTCTCCATTGTGGGGCTTCCTTAAAAATGACTAGATTCTTCTGTTACAGTGTGAACTCGTCCGATGTCATTGATAAGAAAATGAAACGCCAGAAAGATCATTTCTGTGCGGTGTGTGGTACTAATCGACCAGCTGAAGACTGTCGTTGAAGCGTCGTTGTGTCCGATATTGTGATCGTGGTTGCTTGTATGACAATGGACTTCAAAATTGATGCAACCACCAACAAAAGGCTACGTGAAGAAATTTTGCATGGGTGGAGGTATTTGTGTAAGAAGCACTATGTTGAAGCAGTAAGTTCATTCTTATTTTTCACCACACCGTCAGCATTCCGCTGTATTTATCGATTTACTTTAAAGGCAACATTTCTTTACTGTGAAGTGCAGCAGAACGGAGAAAATCTATCCGACAGAGATTTCGCTTCCCTCAGCGCCCTCACGAAGTACGGTTTGTGTGAACGGATACAAATGTACTGTGACCTAGTCGGCGTGAGTAATATTTGTTTAGTTTTTTTATACTGTATTTTTTCTTCTGCAAGGAAATTTTTTAGAATGGATTTGATATTAAATGTATGACGATTTATCATGTTTCTTCAATGATTGTCAAACAAGGTACGAACATTGTGCAGCACGCTGAAGCACAAAGTGCAATACAAAGTAGGGAACAGAGGAAGCAGGTGAGGTTTTCCACTGATGCTGAGCACATTCCTATGAAGTTTATTCATTACTTTTTGTGGTAATTTCATATATTTCCAGGCAACTGTTGCGTCAGTGATTGATGAAGTAGTTGCTCAAACTTCTATGGACAGTGCCATTCGAGAATCCGTCGTTCCGGTCCAACCAGTGGCTAGGGACTACAATGTGATGCCTGGTATGTTCAGCAGTTCAATTCTCTAGTGTTTTCTGCGGGCCTACTATTTTTACTTGAAAAATACCTGTTATTTATTGTTACAAACATTTCTGATGGCTTTATGGTCGCTGGGTCTTCGAAACGAAATTCCATGCCGCACTCAAATGCTCGCGTACGCTTTTCGGTGCGCACCTTCTACTCATCTCTAATTCTTCTTTTCAAATTTTCTCTAATCTTGAGACCTGCACTGTTTTGCACGCGCTCTAACTGTTCAATGCTTCTGAGGTGGTCCATCACTCTCTTGAATAATATTTAGAACGGCTCTGAAAGTTTGATCGATTTAGGATAAAGGATAAAGCATTTGCCGTTGATCAATCCCTTTTTGTTTTGGATGATGATGCGGCACGCATTCTACTTCCATTTGTACATTCGTAGTGGCGTTTGAATGCGATGTGGCCTATACAATGACTTGCGGGGGCCAGCCGATGTTCAAGTCAGTGTTTTTTATCCTCCCAGACAAGTCTGGTACCAATTAACCGACCCCGGAGGGATGGAAGGCTTGGTTGGCCCGGGCGACTCACGACCCAGGATTTGATCCCCGGACCGCTCGCGTGTTCCATCGTTGCCATTTACACCACTGCTTGCTCTTGATCATTCTTTCAAGGTCGTTGATCGATATTACAGCATATTTTTGCACTATTCTACATTTCCATTACCTTTCTTTGGCCCAGTGCGGCTCGTTTTTGGGGTTTTTGGTTCTGTGTGGTGAGTGTGTTGAGCCTATTACATCCATAGAGGTTTACTTCAAGTTCTTTCAACATCTCCAAAGAAATGAAACATCTTAACACATTGCGTGCCGCGTGCGCCACCATGTGGCGCACGATTTCGCACGAAACGGCATAGTATAATCTAATTTATTTGACACTTTTCAATGCTCCTGAACTGTTTGCACTCATTATCAGATCGCGAAATCGGGCGTGTCATCACTCATAAAATTATTGGTAGATTAATGATGGTACATTTTTGAAAAATTATGACAATTTATTTTCAGATAAAGCCGAATGTTCGATGTCATATGGCGAGTCTGAGCCGCTGCAAAGGTATCAGTTTCTTTGCTACGTTCTCAAACTAGTTTATATCGTTTTTCTTTGTTGCAGAGGTGGTTTTTGGTCGAGAGGAGAAGTGGACTTTGTCGATTCATCGGATAGGCGTAGAAGATTGGAGTTGTACCGGAGAGCACCCTTGATAAGCCGGAATAGAAAGCAGTTTTGTGGGCTCTGCTATCAAAATCGATGTGTGTCCAACTTTCGGAAGGCCATGTCAACGTCAAATAGAAGTCTGGCTATACTACTATCGTTGTTGCTAAAACAAGACTTGATTCCTGTCAAAGTGGCAAAGCATGCGTACAAAAACCGTTCTGCTTTATTCATCTGCCATGAGCACTTTATCCAGGCGGTAAGATAGTCACAGATCCATTTCGACTTTCTTCTGCCATAATTATTATAATGTTACTCAGTGTTGCAAAAAATTCAAAATGGGCAACCTTCTTTTTCTTTAAATACCTTATAGTTGAATGTTGATGTACCGCTTGGTGTGTTTTCAAGTCTTTGTAGCATGCGACCAATTATCTTTCATTTTGACTCTACGCACAAAATAACAATTGGACAGGTACATGTCACGAGAAAGGATTACCGAGAACATTGGTTTTTTTTTAATTCTGTGACAAAATGCAAATTATTGTGTTTGCAGGGCGCGTCTATCATGGCTGACATTGAGGATAAATTTGGCAAACTCGATGGGGACGCTGTGCCGCAATAATCTCCCTAGCGATTTTATGGCTGCCTTGGTTTCCAGTATCCACGTGTGTGGAGATCTCGTTACCGTAAGCACAAAGTCATTCCTTATTATTTATATACATTTACAAATTTTGTTTAGACTGACATAAAACCGAGAACGGCTGATCTTTATAATCTTTATATATTTATCAATGATTACTTGAACACATATCATGAAAACCGTGACTGGAAAATACAAGAGGTATCGATGGAAACTGAATTTGCATTCGATGTGAAGGTAAGTAAGAGCCTCTATTGTTCCTCTTGGTCTTTTTTCATTGAATCCCGATTTAGCAGGAATCGCAGGAATCTTCCCCGTCGAGTTCTGTGGAGATTCTATTTGGAATGTGGAGACATTGATTGATGTCTTGGTAAGCTTTTTTATAGACACCCAAGCAGACGCTTTGAGTTTTTCAGTAGAGCGAAGGTTTCCTCTTCCCTTCTTCCTATAAATCATACTCGTTCGTACACTTTAGACGTGGAGGTATTGCAAGACAGTTGTAAAGAGGAGTTATTCACTGATTGCAAACAAGAAAATAGCGATACCAGGTGCTATTTTTTACTGTTAAGCATTTCATGTTTCGATGTCTTACTTTCAAAATAACACTCAGTTGTTGCAGTGAACTTCTTATTATTTATACGTCTCTGAAAGAATGATGGAACACTAATATTTTAGCTCGCACACATTCCCTACCCATCCAGAAGACACCAGCGCAACAGATCATCTTCAAACATCTCCCTTTCATTCATCTATGTCAAACCCATCTCCCTCTTCACTGCGTGAGTTTTGTACGCCTCTTAATCCGTTCCTCGGACGCTTTTCTTTGATGAATTTAAGCCCATGATTTCCAGAAGCCTCTATGGACGAGGAAAGTCAGACAGCGCTAAGCGATTCCCAGTTTGAAGCCGAGATGTTCAAAGAAATCTCAATCACAGATCTCCTGCAACCAGCGAATTCTCCGGAAGATGCTTCTACGAGCCATTCTAGTGAGCAACCGTCCATTGTGCAATTTTTGTAATAGGTATATAATATTAGGTTGGCACATAATTTCTAATAATTTGAGACCTTTTACATGTATTGCTGTAAAATCTTTCGAGAAATATTGAAGATTTCTGATATGTCTTGCAGTTCAGACACAAGCTTACCTATCCGAGAGGCTAGCCACCTCGTTTGCTTGTTGCTTTCTTTAGCTAGGTTCCAATTTCTTCGAAACCTATTTCTGAGCCTCTTTCTTCATGACTACCGATTAGGATCTTCCACGCGCCAAGCTATATGGAGGATTAACCAGAAGATAGTGAGGGCACGCTCTCTCAATCCACGGTGCACCGGTGGTTACCTCTACTCAGGGTTCCCTCCTTTTATTTGAAGATGATCCACACTCCAACCACCCCGTGACTGGCAATCTCGATGCTCTATCCGGCGCCATTGGAAAGGAATCTGAACAAACTGGTCGTTGTTTGCCAGAGCGCTTCTGATGCAATGAAGTGACAGTACTGAGACATTTGCATAGCGTTGTCAATATACAAAGGAAGTATAGAATTTGTAATTCACATGCTCTTCCCTGGAATCAGCTCCAAACGGTATGACGTCGTCATGTTCCTGTTGATTTCTCGTGGTTTATTCTAGTGATCACCCAGCATGTTCATTGCAAACGTGGACTGGGTGCTGCGTTCTAACAAATCAAGAAGCGGCAGTAGCCTAGCTCAAAGGATTGGGGAGTCAGAAAACCAAAGAAAAGAAGAGAACCAAAGACCATCAGCTCATCCTCTTACGAATTCGATCCTTCCTAGTTGTTGGTGGAATACAAGAGTGGCTAAGAGCCGGAAACCATCACCCAATAATACCAGGGTGTAAAGAAAAGAAGCATGAACGGCTCGACGGCGACGCTCTGAAAATGAAATCAAAGTGAGACAAAGTCTGATTTTTTTTCTGAGGTAGTTCGACTCTACTTGAGAGAATTCATGAGTAATTTGGGGCTCTTCAGCCGACAGTTCCACTAGCCCCACCGTGTAGCACTAACCTCGTGCCATCGAAAGAATATTCGCTCCATCTCCAGTTTACCTGTTGAACTGTCTTCGTCAAAAAATCAATGGACTTTTACAAGAGAGGCATCGAGCACCTAATCTTTCGTTGAAGATGTGCTGGTGTTATTATTAAATGTGGGTATACTAAATTGGATGAGTATATCAGAGATATCAGAAAAGTAGTTAAATCAAAAAGCAGCCAAGGTGTCTCAAATAGTGTGCCAACTTAATACTTCCAATGAAATGCCAATTGTGGATGATTCTTTGGTATGTGGACGTAACTTTTAACGAATTGGTTCATCTGGGGCACGAAAGGACACTGATTTAATCGTGTTAGTCGGAGCTTCTCTTGCTCCAGACCGCCTGTTCCATCTGTTAGGGTTTGGCATCGCCGGTCTATAGTGTGCATGCTGCTAGAGCCACAACAGATTTGTCAGCGCACTCTGGCAGTACGAGTGTTATGTTTCATATAAATTAGCTCTTCTACTTCGCCTTTGAAGTAGACTTTTTTTGGAAAAATTGTGAAAATATCATTCATAATGTCCTTTTCATCATGCTGCAGTCATAAGTAAGCTGTTACCATTCTGTTTAGAAAACACTCATGAAAATGGCAGTATCGAAACAATAAAGTACGGTTACCCTCCTGATTCTGGTCACGATTACGAGGAGCCGGAAAGGTATATTTTGGTCATTGAATAAGTGAACTTTTGAAACCAGGCAAGGGTTGGCCGCGACGGTGTTTGGCGGATTTTAAGAGCTCGCTCTAAGCTCTTCAAGAGCTTTTGACGCGAAATCACTACAGTACGCGCTGTGACTCGTCCGCTTACTCTGCCTTGTTGCCGCGCGACGGGCCTCTTGTCGGGTACCGCCTTTTGATTCTTGTCTCTTATCAGATAGAAGAGAATCAGAGCACAGTAGAGTGGCCTTCTCCGCCTCCCTTTTTACCCAGATTTTTATAGGGCCTAGTGAAGTATAGCACTATGTATGAACGAAGGCGTTGAAATTCGTTGAGAAAATTGTGCAACGAAATGTGCAGCAATTGGTTAGATAGGCAATAATATCCAAATAATATAAAGTGAAGTAGTAATATGGAGCAATAATAACAAATGTCATCATAATGTTTGTTACTTGAAGAAATTTCATATACTTCCAGGTTTGACGACTTTGATTCCGAATTCAGTGAAGATTCCAGTGAAGAAAGTGCAATCAGTGATGAAGAAGAGCTCCATCGAGCACATTCTGGAAAACAAAACCTCAGAATGAAAGGGCGATTGAGTTCACGATCAGCCGAGCAAACCGAAAAGCAACCTTCCGAAGGAAATCAGAAGCAGAGGTCCGCTCCGATATCAGCAGTGCTCGGTGTGTCTTCCCGAGAGCTTCTGACTCGTTTTCGAAGCAGCGCAGCAGCCGATGAGGGTGTGGGTGTGCTGACCCCAGAGCAGGTTCTGAAACGCTACATCATATGCTCGTCGTTGCTTTTGCGAAACCAAAGAGAGCCGTTTGTGGATCGACTGGTCACAGTGGGCGAGAAATGGCTATTCTGCAACAGCAAACACCAACAGAAGCCGTTCGAGTTCCAACCGGTGCTGCTGCGTGTTTGGTGGTCGGCGGCTGGCCTTCTTTACCATTCATTTCATCGTGCAACCGATTCGAAGTCTGCTGAAGTTTTTTGTAATCAAATCGTCCACGTTCCACAAGGAACTCACCAGAGGAATGCTCGATGGTCGAGACACAGGACTTGTCCTTCTCTATGATTCTCTATGATAACACCCGGTCCTATGTGACACGAGATACTATAATTCACCTGACTAGCCGAAATTTTGAAATTCTACCATATCCACCGCAATCCCCAGATCTCTTACCTTCAAATTTTTACTTCTTCAAGCGTCTCAGTGAATTCCTAGCTAAAAGGGAACTCATTAATAGGACTGATTTAGAATTTGCTGTGTTTACTTTCTTTAAATCGAGAACACCGCAATTCTTCAAAGGCGGTATTGATGCGCTCGTTCAACGATTGCGGAAATGTGTTGAGCGCAAGGAACTTTTTGGCTTGATTTATTGATTTTCGGGATGCTTAGGATAAAACTTTTTCTATTTATCTGATTTTTAATTCTGTCGTGCAAGCAATTTCTGTAGACATATACAAGATGCGCAGGTTGCATGAATGGTCCAAGGGTTTTGTTAAAGGAAAGGGTTTGTTAAAGATGGAAAGCGGATCTTTGGTGGTACACGGAACGAAAAAAGCAGAGATGCTGTAATAGTGTGCGCATGTGAGAGCTCCCAGACAGCATTACAAATGCTGAGTTGCCTTGCCTCATGGTTGACAGGACTTCTGAGAGCGCAGTCAATAAGGTCTTGGATGGAACGGCGAATATTAGGGCTGCGCGGTTGGCGTTTTGCAAAAATTCTCGGTTTGTCTACCTAGCATTTTTGAAGAAGCAACATGATCAGTGAATTGTTTCAGCTTATAAATCACAGCAGTGAGGGGTTTCGCACTCTTCGGCCTTGTGACCAGGTGTGTGATTGTGTTAGCTCGAGGGGAGGGCTTGAAAAGTAGATAGCGACTGCTACCATGAAAACTTTCTCTAGATACTAACACATACAATCGAAATAGATTAAGGGTCATTTTTTCTCTCAACAGTTCGAGGAGCCTAGCTTCTGTGGACACGCGATCATGTTGATCGAGTTGTCCGGAGTGGCGCAGTCGGACATTTTGTGTGCGCTGCTATGAACACTACTTAACCTTACGAACTCGTTGATTCAAAATGAAAACTGTATTTGGTAACCGTCGAGAACCCTATAGAACAGGGTGAATATCGGTCAGGGAATCCTCGACAGGGAGTCGTATTTATGGTCACGGTAGGTAATAGGGGGTCGTAATTGTGGGGGTCAGTGACGAGCACATCAGTGGCTTCATGGTGCGACAGGGGTGGAGGCTGGAGGGTGTTAGGCAGCAGA